GCGAGGCTGGGGGCTGGATGGTGGCCGGCAGGCGCTTAAGTGAGCTGACAGGTCGTCTCAACTTTGTGGCAAGGCTGCTGTTGTGGATGCGCCTTTTCCTGGCACCGCTCTTTGCTTTCCAGTCAGCGATGGTGTGCATTGCACTCACTTTCATTCGCAGCGAGCTACGGAAGGGTTCGCGCCTCGAGAGTGTCCTGCAAACATGGCCCGGTCCTCGTCAAGCCTTCCGTACTGACGCAAAATGCGAAACTGGAAGAGTTGTGATCGCGGGCTGGTCTTTGCAGGATGGGCTTCGCTCCAAGGATGCTCCGTGGTTCGCGCTTGAAGTTCTGCTTGAACAGGCTCCTTGGCTCTTCAAGGCTGACGGCTCAAGCCAGTGGGCATCAACCACGGCGGAACTTCTTGCATCCTACGCTGCTTTGCAAGTGTTCGGACATCTTGAAGCAAGCGAGGCTCGCGACAACTTTAGGGTTGTCGTATCTGCTGGAACTGACAACCGTTCCACTCCTGCGATTCAAGAAAGGGGTTTGAGCAACAAGTGGCCTGTGCAGGCGGTCCACATGAAGATGGTTTCCCGACTTCATTCTTGTGGTAAGATTGGTCGTTTACAGTGGCGGCCCCGCGAGGAGAATGTGGAAGCTGATGATCTGACAAATCTTCGTTTCGAGAAGTTCACAACATCCAAGCGGTTACCTTTCGAGTTGTCCGAGCTTGATTTTTCTTTACTTGACATGTTGGTTGCTGCTCGCGCCTCCTTTGAAGATTCTCGAGCTTCACTTGCCGGAAAGTACGTCCAGGGCGAGAAGGTCAGCAAGCGGCAACGGACTGAGGACAAGACGAGCTGGTGATCACTTTCTGTTGCTCTAAAGTCGGGAGGAAAGGGCAACAGAGGCTTTCACCAGTTCGCGACAGATCAGTCTCCACACACTGCCCAAAAGTCCGAGTTCTTGAAGTACGACACTCTTTACCTTTTGCTGCGCTTCACTTCACGTGGTTACTTCGGTTTAGTTTAGCTTCAGGGTCCCACTTCGGCTCAAACTTCGGCTCAAACCCGACAGACATGCTATTCAGTCCCCGGACCTAGAGTATGTCTGATGGGGTTTGTGCCGGGGGCGGGCCTGGGTGGGACTTTCTGAATGCTCTGCTGTCTGCGATGGGTTTTTCTTGACATGAATTTTCACGAAGATTATCTGAGACTTTCCTCAGGCTAAATGCGTTTATCAGGCTTCGGGAAATGCATTTGGGCTCGGTTTGAAGCCTCCGGAGGTGAATTACAGCCCGGGACTGGGACCAGCAAGGTTAAGAAAGCTGTAAAATGCGGTTTTTCAGGGCTTGGACAATGCATTTGGGGCCGTTGGATACCAAAGTAAAGCGTGTGCAGCAGGATTTTCGGGTTTAGCGACGGCATGGAGGTTGAGCACTGCTGCAACGCAGGCCAAATGCGTTTAGCAGGCCTCGGGAAATGCATTTGGGCTCGGTCTGAAGCTTCGGAGCTGAATTACAGCCCGCGAGCGGGAGCAGGAGGGGCATTAGCAAGGCTGAGAAAGCTGTAAAATGCGGTTTTCAAGCCTTGCGCAATGCGTTTGGGGCTGTTGGAGCGTGTGCAGCAGGATTTTCGGGTTTAGTGACGGCGTGGAGATTTAGCACTGCTGCAACGCAGGCCAAATGGGTTTAGCAGGCCTCGGGAAATGCATTTGGGCTCGGTCTGAAGCTTCGGAACTGAGTTACAGCCTGGGACTGGGACCAGGAGGGGCATTAGCAAGGCTAAGAAAGCTGTCTGCTGCAACGCAGGCCAAATGCGTTTAGCAGTAGCAGGCCTCGGGAAATGCATTTGGGACCAAGGCCTGAGAAAGCTGTAAAATGCGTTTTTTTGAAGGCTTGAAAAATGCGTTTGGGGCTGTTGCAGGCCTATAAGCAAAGCCTGTGCAGCAGGATTTTCGGATCTAGGGACGGCATTCAGGTCCAGATCTGCTGCAACGCAGGCCAAATGCGTTTACCAGGCCACCAGGCCTCGGGGCTGGGACCAGGAGGGGCAGTAGCAAGGCTAAGAGAGCTGTAAAATGCGCTTTTGAAGGCTTGAAAAATGCGTTTGGGGCTGTTTGAGACCAAAGCAGAGCGTGTGCAGCAGGATTTTCGGGTTTAGCGACGGCATTGAGGATTAGCGCTGCTGCAACGCAGGCTAAATGCGACGCAGGCCAAATGCGTTTACCAGGCCTCGGGAAATGCATCTGGGCTGGGTTCGAAGCTTCCGGAGGTGAATTACATACAGCCCGGGACTGGCGCCTGGAGGGGCATTAGCAAGGCTAAGAGAGCAGAAACATGCGGAAAACAAGGCTTGGACAATGCATTTGGGGCCGTTGGATACCAAAGTACCTGATAGATCCTTTGCGTGTAATTTTACACGTTCGGAAAATTTACACGCCAAAAACGGTATAAATGATTTATACGCCAAATTGGGGTGTAAAAAAATTACACTTTTTTGTGTAAATTCTGGCGTGTAAATTTTGTCCTATTTTGTTCAATGGGCCAAGCTGTGCCGAAAAGGTGTTTTGAAAAACAGGCACTAGGAAGTGCGAGATGTCGAAAAAGTAGTGGATTCCGAATGCCGGGCAGGCCGACGTGGCGATAGATTCGTATAGATTCCGATAGCGAGATTTGCCGACAGAGACAACATGTACAGTTGTGACTCCGAAGGCCGACATGGCTTCTCTTGTTTCGGTGAAAAAACAAAAGAAAACAAGAGAAAGAGAGAGCCAGAGAGCGAGAGTATATCCTCTAAACCACAGGAGAGCTCCTGAAATCAGTTCTTGCTTGTGTGACTTGTGCATGATTGTCCGTGAGACAGTATCACCTACCCCCCGCCATACATCACTGCAGGGCCACTGGCCTGCGGCTTGAGGGCAAGTCCCTGCACCATTCCACGGACCCAAGTGCGATGACGGCCACCGAGGTCCGGGAGTCCTTGGCCAGAGTTCGGCGATTCCGCGGGCTATTCCACCGTTTGTCGCTGGCAAACAGTGTGGAGTCACGTGCTAAGCAACCTGCTCAGAGAAATGCCTGGGGAAGCCGCGAGTTCCTTCTCGGCCACTCTTCGCGAGGTCCACAAAGGGGTCATCTCAAAGCAACGGGCTTTCGGGGGCGGCACAACCCGGAAGCACGACCCCTGAGGAAGGTGCACACCCCTCAGGCATGGCGGATCCACCCTGGCCGAGTGGAGGTGAGACTTACACTGGTGTTTGCAAAGACCACGGGGGAGGCCACACATCTAAACAGCATGGCTTGTCTTGTTTTGAAAAAAGAAAGAGACAGCCAGAGAGCGAGAGAGCGAGGTATATATCGGGCAGGGCTATAGGGTTCCCCTGTTCCTTTCTTGGTGTTACACCGAGTTAGGGCAGGGGAACCCTATAGCACTTGGCAGGATGCAGTTTTATTATATGTATCCTAGACCGCAGAGCTCCTGAAATCCATTCTTGCTTGTGTGACTTGTGCATGATTGTCTGAGACAGTATCACCTACCCCCTGCCATACATCACTGCAGGGCCACTGGCCTGCGGCTTGAGGGCAAGTCCCTGCACCACTCCTCGACCGGCAAGTCTGGATGCAGTTCCAGACGGTAGCAGTCGACCTCCTCCAGGAACCGGCTCACGGAGGTCAGCTGCTAGAGGCCAAACAGGCCAAGAAAGCGGTCGTCCACAAGGGGATCATGAAGGAGGAGGAAGCAGACAAGCTTCCGTCCGGGCTTTCGGGGGCGGCAAAACCGGAAGCACACACTCCTGTGACCTTGTGGAAGGAAGGTGCACACCCCTCAGGCATGGCGGATCCACCCTGGCCGAGTGGAGGTGAGACTTATACACTGGTGTTTGCAAAGACCCCGGGGGAGGCCATCTAAAGCCGGAAGGCATTGCGAGTGCACTTGTGATTTTCATGCCGGGCCGTGTGTCTCTTCTCAAGCCCGCCCCTGTCCCTTTCTTGGTGTTACACCGAGTCAGGGCAGGGGTGGGTCTCTCGCACTCAGCAGAGGACATCCTTTTTTGCACTTATTACGGGCTGCCGGGCCGTGTGTCTCTTCTCAAGCCCGCCCCTGTCCCTTTCTTGGTGTTACACCGAGTCAGGGCAGGGGTGGGTCTCTCGCACTCAGCAGAGAGGACATCCTTTTCTGCACTTATTACGAACATATAATATGGATGTTTTTTTCTGGTTTAGGATATATATATATATATATGTATATATGTCGGGTTGTCGATACATATATATATATATAGGGTGATTGAGAGACGAGCAGAACAAGTTCACAATCCTGTATCGTTGATAGATGCACAGTGTGCTTTGATGTGACCGCCCTGGATGGCCGGCTATGGTGTGGTGGCAGGACTTGCTCGAACAGTGAATGTGCTCCCGGTTTTGGTGATCTTTTCATCTTTGTGTGGCAGGACAGGCAAGCCGAAGATCTGCGGAGCTCCTCGTGGTCCTGGCAAACATTCTCAGTCTTTTCGTGGCAGGACCTCCGAGAGAGAGAGAGAGAGAGAGAGAGAGAGAGAGAGAGAGAGAGAGAGAGAGAGAGAGAGAGAGAGAGAGAGAGAGAGAGAGAGAGAGAGAGAGAGAGAGAGAGAGAGAGAGAGAGAGAGAGAGAGAGAGAGAGAGACAGAGTTGCTTGTGTGCTCACAAGACCGGATGCCAAAGCATGTTCACACATGTGCCTGTGTGTGTGGCTTCGCGAATCAGCGGCAGCTTTTTTTTGGTGTGCAACCGTCGGACGGGTTGCGAAAGCATGTTATATTGACAGGTTTTCACAGACATGTGACATGTGGTAGCATAAGCAGCTTTACTTTCTTTTTGTGCCCGCCTGTCCCTTTCTTGGTGTTACACCGAGTTAGGGCAGGCATCTATAAGATGGTTAGCGAATGTATGTTATTGTTATATAGCTTAGATGTGTTTTTAATTGTAGATTTTGTTTGTGTGGGCACCTTTTATATATAGATCTAAATTCGTAGCTCCTCGCCATGGAGCCGGCCAGCGGGAGTGTGAAGAAGTTGGACAAGACGGCCCTGGAGGGGCTCGATGCCCGCACCGAGAGCACGAAAGTGCCGGAAGATGTTCTGATGGAGGAGCCAGACCCTCCGTCCGACAACGAGACCATGAGCACCGCAAAGCGGTCCAACAGCAAGCCGGAACATGGAAGAGGCCCTCTGCGTGAGGCGAAACAGGCCAAGAAAGCTTTGATCCACAAGTCATCTCGAAGGAGGAAGCAGACAAGCTGCCCGTCGAGGAGATTTTGGAGATGGTGAAGAAGTACCGCAAAGGGCAGCGGCAACCTGACGGAGGCTGTCTTGGAGCAGCTGGCGGAGAACCAGAAGGAGGACCTCTTCAAGAAATTGTTTGCAGAGTTTCAAGAGAGCCCGGGCATGAACATGCCAACGATCACGGACGAGCAGGTGGAGCAGGCGGACAAGGAACTCACTTCCTTGTTCATGTACCAGAAGTGTCCCTTTTCCGACAAAATTGTGGACGAGTGGCACGTGAAGAATAAGGACCACAAGAGTTACATGAGGGAGCACCTCAGGTCGTCGTACCTCCTCACGGACCCAACAGCGATGACGGCCACCGAGGTGAGGGAGTCCTTCGCGAGAGTTCGGCGATTCGGCGGGGGATTGCACCGTTTGTCGCTGGCAAACAGTGTGGAGTACTGGGGCGATGTGGAGAAGCTTCCGTCCTTGGTGCGGAGCATCCATGCCACCAAGGCGATGCAAATCAAATACGGCACGTCCAAGACCGCGAAAACGCACCTCCTGACAAAGGACCAGGTGGGCTTGTGGGTAAAAAGGAGAACCAATAAAAAATAACGATAAGGTTTATAGAATTTTTATAGAATAGTATAGGAAGAGTGACCACAGAGGGGGTTTGGACACGAGTCCAGGTGGCCAAGTACCATCTGGCCTGGGTGAGCTATGCCCCGACGTCCGGCAAGTACACGAATGCCTCGTACTCCAAGGACCACCTGAAGCTCCACACCGACCTCCAAAGGCCTAAACTTTTTAAACCCTGTAAACCCTCTCTATAACCCCTCTAAAAACCCTATATACCCTCTAAACCCTCTAAACCCTAAACCATAAACCATAAACCCTAAACCGTGGCCCTGAGGAACCCGCAGATGGTCTTCGAGAGCCCCGAGCCCGAGAGTAGCTGGTGGCCTGTGGTCCTGCTCCAGAGGCCTGAGGATCCCGAGTTCGAGAACTTGGCGAACATCGCGGGCACCCAGACCATCCTGATCATTTGCTGGTACCAGATCATGGAGGACGGCTTCTGGGTCTGGGTGATGACCGTCGAGGCGATGTGAAGCACTCGTCATTGCCATTTTGAGCTACCACACAAACTCCCCTGTTCCTTTCTTGGTGTTACACCGAGTCAGGGCAGGGGAGGGAGTGTGGGAGCCCCCTGTCCGTTTCTTGGTGTGAGTTGTGTGGATGTTATTTATTAGTTATAATGAGCTCCCACACAAACTCCCCTGTTCCTTTCTTGGTGTTACACCGAGTCAGGGCAGGGGAGGGGGTGTGGGAGCAGGGAGGCAGTATCATAGGGGTTGACATATATTTATTACTTATAATGAGCTCCCACACAAACTCCCCTGTTCCTTTCTTGGTGTTACACCGAGTCAGGGCAGGGGAGGGGGTGTGGGAGCAGGGAGGCAGTATCATAGGGGTTGACATATATTTATTACTTATAACTATTTGCCACCAAACACAGAACATGGATAGTCACACCGAGTTATATAAGGCAGGGGGGGCCAGGCACGGCCATCGCACACAGGTGTAGCATCTTCTGCACCCCGAAAAAAGCCTCTGTGTGGCTCGGGCTGCCGTCTTGCTTCTCTGTTTCACCTGTGACTCACGGCCTTGTGCCTTCGCAAAAATCTCTATGCAGGGCGGCAGCTACATGTGTGTTTGATGGACGTGGTGTTGCAAATGTGGTGGTACGGCTGATAACATCGATTTGTTCTTTGTGCTTTTGCTGCCGCAGGAAATCCTTCGATGCCTGTGGGACATCATCTGCAAGCAGCAAGCCTCCGCCAAGGCTCGCGGGCAACTCGACATGTGTTTGATGACATTGTAGTGCCCAATGTGGTGGTACGGCTGATAACATCGATTTGTTCTTTGTGCTTTTGCTGCCGCCGGAAATCCTTCGATGCCTGTGGGACATCATGTGCAAGCAGCAAGCCTCCGCCCAGGCTCGGGCAACTCGACATGTGTTTGATGACATTGTAGTGCCCAATGTGGTGGTACGGCTCATAACATCGATTTGTTCTTTGTGCTTTTGCTGCCGCAGGAAATCCTTCGATGCCTGTGGGACATCATCTGCAAGCAGCAAGCCTCCGCCAAGGCTCGGGCAACTCGACATGTGTTTGATGACATTGTAGTGCCCAGGCTGTCAATAGCTCGAGTACAATGGGGGGGAACTCAAAACCCCAAGCTTGACGGGTTTGAAGGGCTTTACAGAGGTGTGGAGATTTGGGCTTGAGAGCTTTCCCTGCCCTAACTCGGTGTAACACCAAGAAAGGGACAGGGGACTGCTATGATACCCCTAAGCCCTAAACCCTAAACCCTAAACCCCTCACAAGTTCGGATAATCATGCTAAGTATTGCCCAAGGCCTGGTCCGTCTTGGCCCTAAACCCGCAAAAGTTCGGATAATCATGCTAAGAATTGCCCAAAGCCCTCTTCCGTTTCAGTCTAAACCCTTCAAAACAGGGATAATCATGCTAAGTATTGCCCAAAGCCTGGTCCGTCTTTGTCCTCAACCCTCAGAAACAGGGATAATCATGCTAAGTATTGTCCAGAAAGCCTTGCCGCAGCTGTTTTTGTTTCGAATATCAAACACCACCCAGCAGTCCCGTGTCCCTTTCTTGGTGTTACACCGAGTTAGGTCAGGGCGCAATATATCAAACCACTCCCCTGTCCCTTTCTTGGTGTTACACCGAGTTATAGGTCAGGGCACAATATATCAAACCACTCCCCTGTCCCTTTCTTGGTGTTACACCGACTTAGCTCAGGGCACAATATATCAAAGCACTGCCCTGTCCCTTTCTTGGTGTTACACCGAGTTAGCTCAGGGCACAATATATCAAAGCACTGCCCTGTCCCTTTCTTGGTGTTACACCGAGTTAGCTCAGGGCACAATATATCAAAGCACTGCCCTGTCCCTTTCTTGGTGTTACACCGAGTTAGGTCAGGGCACAAAATCCAAGAGCTATAACCCTACGGGCTTCAGCTTCAAAAAGGTTCAGGGGTTCAGGGTTAGAGGGTTTACTTTTTAGATGAAAATATGATCGAATAGGACATTTCCTATCTCTGATGTTCTGATGGCCGGTTTGGGGCCACCACCAAAAAAAAAAGGGTCACAAGTGCTGGCATCGCAGCAGCCGCCAGTGAACTGCCAGGCTCCAGATTGAGAGTTTGGCTCCTGGAACAGTTTGCATGGGGCCTGCTATCACCACAGCAGGTGCAAGCAATATCTGCTGCAGCATTGCATGATGCCAGAGAACGAACTGTGACTGACCTCGAGCCCCTCGCCAAGCTTGGAAGCGCCGGTCAACACAGCAACAATGTCAACAGGGACTTGATGAGATTGGTCGGGCAGGAGCCACTGATGTACAATCCCAGTCGCACCACTTTGCGAAAAAATGCTTCTGAAGTGCCCGTGCCCGTCGACGGAGTGCCCAGCGACGAGCATGCCTACACCATCAGCCTGCCACACGAGTTATTTAGCAGCCTCTACCACAATTACAAGGCAGCATGGAAACAAGTGATCATGCCTGGACAGGTGTTTTTGGATTGCTTTTGGAAGTCGGCCAGAGGGCTGCCGCAGTGGGAGGGCCACCCACTGGCATCGGAGCCATCCCATCAGGTGAGAAAAATCATACCATTATCATTGCACGGGGACGAAACACCGGTGCTGGCCAAGGGGAAGATTTGGTCCTCTTCAGCCTTAGTGATGTCATGGGCTTCCCTTTTGGGTAGCGGCTCCACGAAAAAAAGCCAGCTCTACATCTGGGCCGCCTGGCACAAGTCATTCTCCAAAGAGACGAATGATGACCTCTGGAGTCTTTTACTCTGGTCTTTCGAAGCCTTGTGGTCCGGCGTTTTCCCGAAAAAAGACTGGCGAGGATATGATTTCGATCCCCACAGTCCCGAGGGACAGCGAGCTGGCCAATACCTCGCGGACGGCTATAGAGCTGTCTTGGTGGCTAGCTGTGGAGACCTGGACTACATGGCACAGTTCCAGGGCCTTCCCCGGTGGAATTCCAATTCCCCTTGTTGCTTGTGCCAGTGCCAGAAGAAAGGAGACCGCAGTTGGCACTGCTTTGCGGAGGATGCCGCATGGAGGACAACTCTGTGGACCCCTGCTGCTTGGAAAGCATGGCCGAGCCGAAGCATGAACAGGATGTTCCAGAAGGACCTCTGCTCTGTGCTGGTGGTCCATTTTGACCTGATGCATTGCCGGTACCTTGGCTATCTCCAGCAGCTCTATGGATCGGTTTTTTGGGTCCTCTGTGAGGAGACGATGCATGGGAGTCCAAGCGACAATCTGCATGAACTCTGGGGTTTTCTGAAGACATACCAATCCACCCACAAGGTGCACAGCCCGTACTCCCAGAGGCTGAACAAGGTCAGCATGTACAAGAAGAAGACCGACTTTCCGAAGCTTCGTGGAAAAGCGGCGGAGATCAAGGAATGTGGGGTCATTTTGGTGTTCCTGGTCAGGACTTCCAAGAGATTGGGTTACTCTTGGATTTGACATGCAAGTTCGAGGAGATACTGGAGGAATGGCCCATTGCAGACGGCTATTTCTGCCTTCCTGCCGAAGCTGCAGACAGACTGAAGACGAACTTTCGGGACTTCGCATGTTTGTATGTCATGGTCGGGGATCGCTTTCGCAGCGAAGATCGTCGGGCCTTCAATCCTACGGAAAAGATTCTCTTCTTCCGGAACAATGCATTTTTTTCACATTTGTGGCTATAACACAAATCCTGCAACCCTTAAACCCTATAAACAGCCTTTTTCTAAAGCCCACAAACCTTTTCTTCCAGAGACATATAGAAGGATGCATGCCTGCGAGCATATCGTCATGCTCAGTCACTTGATTCATCCTGGCCTCACATCTTGCTGGCGAGGGGAGGACAGAAATGAATGGTCTCCTGCTTTATAAACACGTGCTCGCACAATCCAAAGGGTTTTTTGTGTAGAGGTTTCATATATGTGGGTCCTAGGACTTATATATAGAGAGGGCTTCAAGTCTAAACGATTTTGGGTTTCGGGGCCCTCGAGGACTACATGTCCAAGCTCGGCACTCTGATGGCTTCCTGCTGTCGTGGTGTTCAGCGAGAGGAGGCGAGCCACAAGCTGAACCTGAAGATGAGGCTTGCACTTCACCTGCAGTGGCAGAAGCTGTCGTGACCTCTGTTCTCTGCTCTCCTGGTCCATTTTGACAGATGAGATCTCCCCTGTTCCTTTCTTGGTGTTACACCGAGTCAGTGGGGAGATCCACAAAGCAAACGCCCCTGTCCCTTTCTTGGTGTTACACCGAGTTAGGTCAGGGCGCAATATATATCAAACCACACTGCCCTGTCCCTTTCTTGGTGTTACACCGAGTTAGGTCAGGGCACAATATATCAAAGCACTGCCCTGTCCCTTTCTTGGTGTTACACCGAGTTAGGTCAGGGCACAAAATCCAAGAGCTCTCATCGCTCTCGCGGAAAAAAAATCGCAGTGCACAGAGGCCTGCCGCACAACCCTTTTAAACCCTCTCTATAGAAACCTGTAAATCCTGTGAACCCTATAAACCCTCTATAAGCCACAACAAAAGGAAGACTCTGTTTGCATCTCTCTGGCAGGCTCCATCATCCTGGACGAGGTTTTGGTGGCCAGCTGTGGAGACTTGACGGTGCTCAGCAAGGGGAAAATTTGGGACTGGGCTTTGGCCCACTTTTGGCAAAGGCCTGCTCCAAGGGTTTACAGAGTGTGTCTTTGCAGTCCCACGAAAGAAGATTCAGAGTGCTCTCTGGCAG